TTTCCATTGTAGTGAATTAGCTAGCAACATCAGGATTGCCTGTATTAAATCAGTTAATGTTACAGATGTTACATGGGATGTTTAAAAAAAAATGAAAATGTACCCTCTAATTTCAGAGATTATAGCTGATCCCCTAAATGGCTAAACCTGAGAATCCCATTTTGATTTTAGGACAATTTAGAACACAGTTATTTCTTTAAGAATTAGTGCAATATTTTTAGGAGCTTGTCTTATCCTACCCTCCAAACTCTGCTTGTGACAACAGCAACAAATGGCTAACTTGATTCCATAGATTTAGCATATACATGTCTATAGTCACTTGCCTTTACACCTCAAGTAGCAGATGGAGAATTTAAACTATACTGAATGAGAATGGATCCTCCTCTCTCCAAGAATGTTGGTACTACAAATAGGACTGTGAGTTGGGAGAAGGGAGATGGATGTATTGTGCACTTGTGTTGCACACAGTTGTAAGGATGAATTAACATTAAAGACTGTTTACCACAGAGACTTCTATATTTTGATCTTTATAAATTCCCCTACAGCATTTGATATTTAGAAGATGGTGGTGTGGCACTGTCTGGGAAAAATAGAACACAGCATTAACTCCACACTTCCCAATGCATCACTGCTCCGAGGATGTTCAGAACATAGAATAAGCTTGCGATTAATACGGAAAATGAATAGCTGAGCTATAAATGGGCTCACTGGGAGAGTTGTGGAACCCATGGAGGAACCGTTAATGTGTTGCCACGTTATTGGTGCTAATCACTTAAAATGTGCTCCTTTATTAGTAGCTTTAATGAGAGCCACTTAAACTGTGCATTAAAAAGAGGAACTGCAGAGAAGGACGATGAACTGGGTGGCAGGCGCTCATAATTCTAATTGAAATGCTTTTAGTACAGGGAAAAAAGTTGCCAGAAGCCAGTATTTCTTTGCACTTTTAAAAACCTCCATTATGTAGCATCAATTAGTGTTTTGTGGTTCAAGAGTTGGAATTATATTTTATTTTTGTAAGCTTCCTCTCCTTTTTCCCCACATCCACTCCCTCTCTTCCCCACCCCACTCCCCTCTTACCCCACATTTCTGGGTTTGTTTAGTTGGTAGCATATTGAGTAGAAGCCTTGAAAAATCCTCAAACAGAGGTCTCCAATGTTTCTGGAGGGTGACGGTCTTGTCCACATAACAATTGACCACTGCGTTGGGAATAGCTGGATGGAAGACAATCATTTTCTAAAAAGCTTTTTTTTTAAAAAAAAAGAGTAACTTGCCAAGAATCTAAGACTAAAGAAGAAGGGTCTGATCCCCCCCAAACACAAGCTATTTAAAAAAAATAACAACTGTAGGCTTTCCCCCCCTCTACCTCAAAGGAAAACTTAGTCTTCCTTCTGTTTTTCTAATAACCCGTCTACTGCCTCTCTAACCCTTTACACTGCCCTGTACTACCCCTAGCCTAGCTGAACCCCTGGTCATCCATACTCAGAATGTCAGTATGTATCTCTGGCAGCCACTTGAATTCCAAATGGGTTAATTCTGTATTACATTTGCTTTACTTTGACATAGGAACTGATGCCCCCAAACTTGAGACACTGGTTTCTTATTTATAATATTTTTGAGTGGGAAGGAAAATCCCATTAAATAAACATTCCCCAATGGTACCTTACAGGAGTATTGGCCTACAGTTTTGTCACCTCTAGCAGTCCTGGTCAGTGCTGTGTAATGCAAGGTGAAGAGATAAAAGAAATAAGAATGCAGATCTATCAGGAACATCCATTCCAAAGCAACTGGAAGTATTTGGTGTGCTATGGAACTCTCCTGTTAAAAAGATGATATAAAAGGAAACAGAATCTCCACATCAAACTCTCAGATTGAAGGGTCTGTGGGGATAGATCAGATTTTCATTGAAGCGTTAACTGAACTAGAAGAACAGAACCATTCATATAGCATGCAGATTTTTCTTTGCACGAGGAGATGCTATAAGGTGGTAGACGTCCTCTTCTAGATACTCTGAAACATGTTTTCTTGTTCAGTTTCTGTGGCTGTCCATTTGATAAGGGTTAAAAACACCAGACAGAGGGCAGCTGCTCTGAGCTTTTTTGAAGCAACTATTTACACACACCGCTACAGAGCATGGCCCAAGGAGGGGAAAAACTGAGAAGAAAGATAAAATAATTGTTTACAATTTGGAACATGCAGTTCCTCTTGGAAGAGTAAAGCCTGCAAAGCATTGGATTAGGAGAGCCATAAATAGCCAGACTGTAAGTATGCTGAGTCCAACATGGATGCAGTACCTGGAATGATAAGATTGGCATACCAGATTAAAAATCAGGAGTCTGATAACACCTTTTCTGACTGACAAATTTCATTCAAAGGCATAAGCTTTTGTGAGCTGCAGCTCGTTTCATCAGCTCACAAGAGCTGATGCGTTTTAATAAAATTTGTCACCATAGATTAACACGGCTCTCCTACAACAGCTGCTCAAGGAGCTGCATTGGTTGCCATTTTGCTTCCAGGTCCAATTCAAGGTGCTGGTTTTGACCTTTAAAGCCCTTCATGGCATGGGGCTGGGTTATTTGAGGGACCACCTCTCTCCGATTACATCTGCCCACCCCATCAGGTCTGGCAGAGAAGGCATGCTGCGGGTCCCATCTGTCAGGGAATTCCATTTGGCGGGTCCCAGGAGGCAGGCCTTCCCTGCCGTGGCGGCTTCTCCCCCCAGAAGTGAGGTTAGCTCCATCCCCCTTAACATTCCACAAGTCCCTCAAGACCTGACTATGTGATCAGGCCTGGGGGTCCCAGGGGACCAGGGAGATTTTGTGACGGCTCCCTTACTGTGGTTAACATCATCCTCTCTTGTTCTGTGTGCTTTTTAATAATTTTTATAGTTTAATAACTATTTTATATGTATTCATTGGTTTTCTTTTAGCTGAATGTTGTATGCTGCCCAGGTCACTTTTTGTGAGATGAGTGGCTATACAAATATAGTAAATAAGTAAGTAAGTCCCAGTAGTAGAGGCTACACAAGTGGGAGAGTTTTCTGGCATTTGTGACCCATTTGTGGGCTTGTTGCGGGCAGCTGGTTGATCCAGGAGGGACAGAATTGTGGATGATGAACCTTTGACTGTTTCACCTTATCAACTGAGTAAGGGCTAGGGTAAAAGGGAAGTCCTCCATTTAATAGGACTTCCAACTCCAGGATTGTGTGATTCAAAGTGAATTTGTTGTGTTCCTGCACAATAGATACAATTCTTTTCTGTGTTTAGCATGAAGAACCACCAACACAGGCAGGGCAAGCCACAGTATATAAACAGAGAGCAAACTCCACTCCATTCTAGCACTGAAGACGTTACCTAGCCGGGTAATGACGCGTTTGCAAGAAAATGACCAAGCTCAGGGAGCCCCAAGGACTCCACAGTTCAACCCTGAGCTACACATATGCTCTTCTGTTGGAAGAACTAAGACTCAGTTTTGGCTGCTTGCCTGCCTTATCAGTGTGAAAAGCATTTCATTTCCATAGACCTCGACAAATGCAGTGGGATAGTGAACAAATAGCACTAATGCTGCAGTGAAGCTAACTGGTTAGGCTTATTGTAATTGATTTGCATGGCACACGGTCACTGTAACAATAAAAATGTTGACAAAATCTGTTTGGTTGATTGAGCAAGGAAATGTTTTTGCAAGAATGGTACAGGTTTCGGCCCTGCACTTCATGAGGCGAATAAACTGCCTTTTATACATTTCAACATAAGCTAGCATTGGCTTTTATTAAATACTTTATTTCATTATATTGGCCTATTAAAATATTTCTGTAGTGCACTCTATTTTGGTCAACGGCTGCTTAAAGGCATTTAAACCTAAAATCAGAAACACAGGCAACTTTCAGCTTATTGTAGTCACCATGCACTTTTTTATCTGCAGTATAATTCAAGTTTCAATTGTGTTAAGTTAAATGAAGTTAAATGTAAAGTAGATGAAAGTTAAAGGTACATATGTGACCTAAAGAGCTGCCAAGCATGTCAATAGCATTTCCATTTCCGGGCAAAAATAGTGTACTGTTTTCCACAAGAAAATAATTATTTTTGTTACTCATGGGCCAGCTGAAGCTTTCCTTTTACCGGTATCTGTGAGAATGAACATGTTGAGGGGAGGGGGAGAGAAATATGTGCTTTCTGCTTGTTACTTCGTTAGTATAGAACTAGCATAATGCAAGAGCAGAGTTTTTTCCTTCAGTCACTTAGAGAAGCCTACCTTTGAGTGTGTCCTTGCAGTCTTGCACTTCTTTATTAATCCTGGATGCTAGAGAATATAAGTGCAAAACCCAATCTTTGTGTGCACATGTGTGTGTGGTATTTGCACTCTCTCATCCACATACATGCACACAAATGATAAGATGCTTAATCTGTGCTTGGTTGTGAACATTAAGAAAATCTACATGAATATAGGAAACCAAGTAGTATTTTAAAAAAATTGATATTTGATAACCTAATCTTCCTTACAAAGAATATATGAAGGTTATGATTCCCCCAATTTTCAACCTGCAGCCTTTATACTCAGTCAGAAGCAGTTTGTTCATACCATGTGCTACTTCTCAGGACACCCTGAGTCCAAGGGTGAACTGGTCTGTTTCCAGCATGTTTTCCTCTCCTCAGGGATACATCAAAGAGATATAGATATAGCAGATTCAGTGCGCTCACACATGCACTCTGCCTGCTGAGTTTATCCTCACCTGGTTATAGTTAATTTGGCCTCTTAAATGTCTTGCCTTCAGTTTAGAGAGTGAAATGCTTTCTGTTTTTTAAACGTGCAAGGCCTTGTCTGATCTTGGAGTCTCTTTGTGATACACCTTTCACAACTTGTGTATGTTAGAAAATGTGTTCTTTGCATACCTGGCAACCTTGAGATTGTTCACAACTAGCTTTTATTGGTCAAGGGGATCGCAGGTATTTCTTGAGGTGTGTGATACTTACTTTTTTTTTTGTTCCTTTTGAATCCTTTTGTAGGGTTTTTTCCTGGGAGCTCTCAAGGGTGCGATGCCTTCCTCCGTCACAAGATGACCCTCATTTCACCCTCTATCTTGAAAAAATACAGTATCCCTTTTGACCGGGTATGTACACAGTCTGTTTCCAGGAAACCTTCTGCCAACCCTCAGAACGTTATCCTTTCCAAGGGAAGAGCAGGAAGAAAAAGATGCTGAACCCTCTGTGACAGTGGGGTCAAGCTCCAATAGAAACAGGGGACCACTAAACCAAACATAAGGATTCCTGCGGGCCACACATTGACTTAGAAGACCGTGTGTGTGTGTGTGTGTTTATATATATATGTTATTAATACATCAACATATTAAAATCAGATAGGGACTAGATATAACTCATACATGAAAAATAAGTATTATTATTATTATTATTATTATTATTATTATTATTAT